TCTTGTTAAGGATCTTTCTAAACCTAGAATGGAAGCATATATAACTGAGGTATTCAATCAATTTCTTCCTTTGTTTTTATCTTTTTTCTCTAAATTATGGTAAACAACCGTATTTGTGTCTGCAATATAACTGTTCATAGCATAACCGCAACAGCATTTTGAAACTGACCTATATATAAAAGGACAATGCTTTACCAGTGCCTGTTTTTTCGGCTCACAAATTCGAATCAAAGACATTTGGCAATGGATGGTTCCATTTATAATTGTTATTTTGTAGAATTGTTTCCATTTGTGGCAAATGCTAATAATTCTATGAAAGTTATTGTGAACGGAATCATAAGTAGCATAAGAATGCTACCCGTTCTTTCTTGTCGGAATGGCATTTGGTTTATGTTTCAATTTGTATGGTAATCATCTTAGCCTTACCATAATTTTAAACGCAGATTTTCCAGGCGAAATCTTCGTGTAATGAAGCACTTCAGGAACTGAAACACTGGATGAAGCCTGAAAAGGTAATAGCAAAGAATAAGAATGATTGTGATGTGACTCAACTTGGCTCCTTTTGTAATACATTTTCTTTTCCCTCGTCTTTTAGGTGAGCACTTCAATCACAACATTTCCATCATCAGCCGAGATTGTTTCAGAACCACTGGGAGTTGTGTTGATCATATCAACATGGAACTTTCCTATGCGTATGTAGAACATGATCATCTTTCGTGCAATCCACATCGATCTTCATCTCAATCGCTGTAATCTAGCATGTTTAGATTAATGTCCCAAATATCAGAATTCTAGTTAGCTCCACTCTATCTTGCAAAATAATTGATTTTATCTTAAATGAGTTCTCAGTTACTAAGAATGCTTATATTGCTAATTTGTTGATTTTTTTCGCCTTCTCTGTATCGTTTCTTGTCCATTGATAAATATTTTATCCCCTACCTTCAGTATTATCATTGGATCCGGTCATTGGAGCCATTGCAGCAGGTAACACAGTGGTTTTGAAACCATCAGAAATTTCTCCCGCAACATCATCCCTGCTTGCAAATTTGCTAGAAAGTTACCTAGACAATTCTGCCGTAAGAGTTATTGAAGGTGCTGTTCCTGAAACAACTGCACTCTTGGAGCAGAAGTGGGATAAGATACTTTATACAGGTGATTTCTTCAATAGTCAATACCCTATGAAATCATTGTCATTAGTGGCTCTTTACTGTTTAGCAACTTTAAATTTATAATAAAAAGTCACACAGGTATTTGGTCTAATTAGCATGCAATTTCGCTATAAGGTTTTATGCATAATAGACAAATTTTACTCAGGTAGTGCTCGAGTAGGTCGCATTGTTATGGCTGCTGCTACAAAGCATCTTACTCCAGTGATTCTGGAGCTTGGAGGAAAATGTCCAGCTGTCGTTGATTCAAATATCAACTTACAAGTAACATAATCTCTTGAGCTGTTATTTACACATCCAAAATAACATATTCTCACATAATGTAGTCATTTGAAACTTTAGGCCACAGCTAGGAGGATAATTGCTGGCAAATGGGCATGCAATAGTGGACAAGCATGTATTTCTGTTGATTACATCATCACAAGAAAAGATTTTGCTCCAACACTTGTAAGATTGACTCTATAATACCAATATTCAGTGTGCTGTTACAATATACCACTCTTTGACATGTTATCATTAAACAGATAACTGCTTTAAAAGATGAGCTGGAAGAATTTTTTGGGAAAGATCCAATTGAATCCAAAGATATGTCTCGTATTGTGTCTCCTACTCAATTTGCACGACTTGTGAGACTCTTGGATGAGGATAAGGTATCTGACAAAATTGTTTTAGGAGGTCAGAGAGATGAGAAGAAATTGTGAGTTAGCATTCCCTTCTTGGTTGTTAAGATTGGAATTAATCATTTTTAACAATACCATAACATCAAATTTCCCTATATATTGCAGAAAGATTGCTCCAACTATCTTATTGGATGTTCCAGAAGAAGCTATGGTTATGCAAGAGGAGATATTTGGGCCAATATTACCAATTATTACTGTTAGTACTAAATCATAATGGAAAGTGCATGTTATGTTTTTTATTTTTCGGATAAACCAAAGTCTTTTTATCTCTTCCTCACTTTTTTGCAGGTAGACAGCATAGAAGATAGCTTCAGTATAATAAAATCAAGGCCAAAACCTCTTGCTGCATATCTCTTCACAAACAATGAGCAGCTGAAGAAGGATTATGTTGATAAAATATCTTCCGGAGGAATGCTCATCAACGATGCTGTTGTGCATGTAGTTACTCTCTTTATGAAATTTATAGTACATGAAAGTTTATTGAATTATAACATTCTTTTATTTTATAAATATGATCCTATTTTCATAAATCTATTCATGTATTGGCCACCAGACACATCTCCAATCTGTAGTGTCAGTGCTACATAGTTAACTGATCTCATTCATGCGTGATGATGACATTAGATGGCATTAGACTGACTAGTACAACAATGTTGGTGCAGGTTGCAACTCGAGGTTTGCCTTTTGGAGGAGTTGGAGAGAGTGGAATGGGCGCTTATCATGGAAAGTTCTCTTTTGATAGTTTCAGCCATAAGAAGTCAGTTTTATATAAAGGTTTTGATTCAGATCCATCCATAAGGTATCCACCATACACGCCAGAGAAGGCGAAATTGTTGAGGGCCATTTTAGATGGTAGTATTTTTCACATTATTCTTGCTCTGCTTGGATGGTCTAAATAATGATGATATGCAAGGGAAATGTAAATGTAATAATGTTCTTGTTCCCCCAGTCTCTGATATATGTCCTGCTCCTGCATTTTTTCGGTAAGGTGGAGGGCCAGAGGCTCAATAACTGTGAATAAATTTATCAACAATTACTTGTAAGACAAGCGAAAAGAATTTTACAATAGTCATATATTTTCTAAATTATAATTTTCCTTATGCAAGAATCATGCTGTCAAAAAGAAAACTATGCAAGAATCATGGCATCATGCATAGCGTAGATTAATTATTGAGAAAAAAAGCAGGTCAGATTTGTAAGACGAATATTTTCAAGAGGAGTAATGCCGAAAGGTACCAAACAAATTGACCATAAAATGCGCAACTAATACCTACCCAGCTGTTTTATTTGGAAGCTCATAACTCTCCAACACCTATTTAACAATATTTTTTTATATATATCTCTCACTTTCTATTTCATCACCAATCTATCACATCATTCTAATTTTTTTTTCTTACTCATGTTTGTTTCAGCTTTTTTTTCTTTCATAAGTGATTTTATAATATATTTTTGTTAAAATTAAATTTATAAATATTTAAAAGGAAATTACAAATGAAAAATTGGTGTAAATGTTTTTTTATTTATTTATAAAATAATATTTTAAACATTTCATTACTATAACATTTTTTAGATATGAAAATTTTAAAATGTCCTTTAAATTTAAAGTTATTTTAAAGATTTTCATAAAAATTACTTTTAGAAAATATCTTAAATTAGGAGATTTTGATTATGTTAAAATCTTCTAATAATAAATATTTTAGTTACTTGATATCATAATTATTCTTTTAGTTTATAAAAAAAATATTTTTAAAATAAATTCAATTATTTTCAAAACAGTCAAAGATAGCCTTCAAACTCTACATTAATATTAGTACTATTCCCACATCTATCCGAGAAACCATAAATCCCAATTATTCAACGGATCCTTAATCAATTTGTCACAAAATAACTATCTTAACTAAAACTAAGTTAAAACAGATTATTTTAACTCCTACGATAACTATATATTTCAAATTTAGGATTATATTTGTCTTTTTGTCTAATATAGCAAATACTCTCTCTATCATAAATTATATAATGTTTTGAACATTTCACACGAATTAAAAAATTTAATTATTACCTTATAAAAAAAATTTATATAATTAGTACTCCTTATAATTACATCGGAAAGAGAAATTAAAAGAGTTGAAAAAAATAAATGATAATAAATACTCGAAGGTATATTAAGAAAAATGTCATTAATATTACATTGGTAAAAAGATGACTTATAATTTGAGACAATTTTTGTGTGCGCAAAATGACTTATAATTTGAGATGAGGAAATATAGACTATGTTCGACACAAATACCTTTCGACACATGTCAAATACAAACACTAATTTCGACTTCGACACAAAAAATTACATATTTAACACATCACATAATTCATTGTGTTTAAATTATCCCATAATTTATTGTGTTTAAATAATCTATATTCATCATTGTTCTTAATCACTTGAACAATTTGACTTATATCATTATATTTGCAATCTAATTATGTGATTTGCAATATTTCAAGCTCAACTTTCCATTCACTGCATCCTCTCTCCTCATTTTAAAAATGTGTTTGCTTCTTTCTTTCGTGTACTATCAAATTCTTTGTCAAGTTGATAGAAAACATACTATTAATCTTTTTTTGCCTTTTCGAAAAGAAAAACTCCTTTAAATTTATTTCATTTTTTATTACTTGTTTTGTTGTTTTCTGCTGCAATCATTTTCACAGAGGTCCTGGAAGGAGTAGGAAGAAGTTTCTAGGAAATAAGCAATCACACAAAAAACCCTCAACACTTGCCCATAAGCCATTGTTTTCACCTCCACATTTTTTCTTCACATACTTTTCCAACTATATTTATTTTTCTTTTATTTTTCTAGCATATGCTCATAACATTTAGAATCTATGCTAGATTCATGTGTAAAATTAAGAAAGGGATAAAAAAACACATAGCAAAGAAAGCAATCCCACTTTCTAATGTTGAGTTTATTCTCTCCTTTCCTTCATGAATAGCACAACCAATTATTTCCGACAAGAATCATTAATTTTAATATTTAAGCTCAACCACACCATTCTTCAATTTTTTCCATCCATACATTATATTATAAAAGATAAAACAAAATAAATAAACAAAATAGTTTTTTTTCTTTTTCTTTTTCATTACTGGAGATTAGAGAAGAAAAATATGAAAATAGATAAGGTGAGATTGAGGTTGATATTGGTGGTTACAGTGATGATGTTAAACTTGTCTTGTTGTTCAGCTTGGTTTGGTAATAAACGCAAAAGTGGAAGAAACACAATTCTACCAGGTGAATCCATGTCTTCAAGGACAAGTCTCATGAACCATGCTGCTGCTGGTTCCTCAATTGTGTTCCCCATTTATGGCAATGTTTATCCTGTTGGGTATGATAACAATTCACTTCTTTTAAGGTTTCTTATTCTTTTTCATGTTTTGTGATTTCATTTTTATCATGTTTTTCAATTTTTGCAGATTCTATAATGTTACTCTCAACATAGGTCAACCACCAAGGCCTTATTTTCTTGATGTTGACACCGGTAGCGACCTCACATGGCTCCAATGTGATGCCCCTTGTTCTCAGTGTTCTGAGGTAACATTACACTGAAAAATCTCGCAACAATTGTTCTCAATGTTATGTTGATTTGAATTTGCTGATAAAATTTTCAGACACCTCATCCACTTTACAAACCTAGCAACGACTTTGTGGCGTGCAAGGATCCGCTCTGCGCGTCCTTGCAGCCCAGCGATGACTACACATGTGAAGATCCTAATCAATGCGACTATGAAATTAAGTATGCTGATCAATACTCAACCCTTGGTGTGCTTCTCAATGATGTCTACCTTCTCAACTTCACCAACGGAGTCCAACTTAAAGTTCGGATGGCCCTCGGGTTTGTTTACTTCAAACTACTCTGTTGCATGATATGCTATTTGACATATTCATCAATGACCAATTTTTTATCATACTAACATTGTTTAGATGTCAATGAAATTCATCTAATGCACGTAATTTTCGTTTATACAGATGTGGATATGATCAGATTTTTTCACCTTCTTCTTACCATCCCTTAGACGGGATACTTGGACTTGGAAGGGGAAAGGCTAGCTTGGTTTCACAGCTGAATAGTCAGGGTTTGGTGCGAAATGTGATCGGACATTGCTTAAGCTCGCGAGGAGGAGGATATATCTTCTTTGGAAATGCTTATGATTCTTCTCAAATGAGTTGGACTCCGATTTCGTCTATCCATTCGTTAGTACACCATTCTCATTTCACACGATCGACACATATTAATATACTAGTGACTCATAATTTTATGATATCAGGGGAAAACACTACTCAGCCGGACCAGCTGAACTTGTTTTCGGAGGAAGGAAGACCGGTGTGGGAGATCTGGATATTATTTTCGATACCGGAAGTTCATATACTTACTTCAACTCTCAGGCTTACCATGCATTGATTTCTTTGGTCAGTTAAAATCATTTTTCACTAATATTTAGAATTAATGTAAACAAGTAACTATGGTTTATATGGTTCAATTTTCCAAATGCAGGTGAATAAGGAATTACATAGAAAGCCATTAAAAATAGCACCTGATGACCAGACTTTACCAATGTGTTGGCATGGTAAAAAACCTTTCAGAAGCATAAATGAAGTGAAGAAATACTTCAAGCCACTGGTACTTAGTTTCAGCAATGGTGGAAAAGTTAAATCTCAGTTTGAGATCCCTCCTGAAGCTTATTTAATAATATCAGTGAGTTATATAACTTTTCTACATTTTCTATGTTTGTTATCTGCTATAGTAAATTATAGGAACATTTCATATTTTCATGTGTGAATGCTAACATTTTTGTTTTTTCCAGAACAAGGGAAATGTTTGTCTAGGAATTCTAAACGGTCCTGAAGTAGGATTGGGTGAAGTGAACCTAATTGGAGGTATCAATTTAGTTACATTGTTACTATGAAGCACGACACTGATACTAACACATAAATATTGATAATAACTTCAAGAAAAAGAAAGTAGACACACCCGACACATTTTCAATTTGAAGGATAGGTGCTCCTCGATCTGTTGAGTGGTATTTATTTGTTTAAATGATTGATGAACTCTGCATTCTGTTATGCAGACATATCCATGCTAGACAAAGTGATGGTTTTCGACAACGAAAAAGAGTTGATTGGATGGGGTCCTGCAGATTGCAATGGTGTTCCAAAATCCAGAGATGTCAGTTTATGATCATAATACTACTTAATTCAAGCATTCATATGATTGTAGAAAATAGATTAATGTTGTTTATAGAGCTGGTGATGGTAAAGTGTAAACTACAAATGATTTGTGTATAGTATTAGCTTCTGATTATTACAGAAGTTATTATATATTAGGGCCATTTCATATAAGCATGGTTATGCAGCGATTTGCAACCTACTAAAGACTATAATAAGACCAAATAAATATTTAAAATCAATAGAATATTCTCTTCTATGCTTTGGCATTTCTTTAGTTTTCAATACTTACTAAACTAAGTATGACTATTGGATTCCGACATTTCTGAATAAAGATATGTCCGTGTTTTATCTGATATTTATTTTAATATTTATAATTATATTTAATCATTAATTTTTTAAAATTATTATCAGTATTGGTGTGTCAATGTCAATGTCGTGTTTGAAGTATCCATACTTCATAGGTTATAATGAATAACCAACAAATGTCAATAGATTTGACAATAACCATTGAAGGATGACTCACTTATTATTCTCACTACTTGCTAAAGAATCTAGGAAGGAGACCAAAACTATAAATATAAAATGTGTCCGTGTTATATTCGTACTTTACTTAGAAGAATGCCCCAATAAATTAATTTTATTTATTTAAGTAGCCAATAAAATTATTCTAAAAAAGAATTGAAAATACATTAGATTATAAAATGAATACTATATAACAAACATAATAAAAAAATTCTAGTAGAATAATAGGAATGGAACAAGAATTTTCTACATGAATTCTTACATGTTAACACTAGCATATACCCCTAACATGAATAATTTGATCTAGAATTGAGATCATTGTGCTTATTGCTTTAGTTACAAATAATGACCCCATTTCTTAAACTTAAGCATACAACAAATGAATATCATCCCAAATAGACAATCCCTAGTTATGACCTTCCCAAGAAGAACACACATGCACCATTAGCATCTCCACTTGAAGTTGCAGTTAGTAGTTGTGAATGTGAATGTGATTTTTGTCTAGAACCAATTTAAAATACCCATGGGACCCTCCTTTTTAGGATCCCCGTCCTTTAGAACCCCACGACCATGACCTAATTTTCATCCCTACTCAAAATAACAAAACAAAACTACTTGGGTAGGTACGTAAACACATCTTGCCAACCCGAAAGTTGATTCATTTGATACTGAACCTGAGGGGCAAAAGGGTCATCTTCACCATCATCCATAAAATTCAACTGAAAATCAAAGGCCGACACTGGATCAGGCCCCAGAACAAATTCGTTCCATTTTGGCTCACTTTGAACCTCCTTATCGCACGTGACATCCGGCGAAACCACGTGCTCCGAACAGCTTGAATCCGTGTGAAACCGTGGCACCGAATCTGACGTGTCAGTATATAACTGCTCATTCAAAATCCCGAAATCATCCTGACCGTTCTTTTCGATCTTAGGCTTCGTCTCATTCTCAAATTGAACTTCCTCAGAAAACATGGATGATGATTCTTTCGTAGGAGTACTATTGTCACTGTATTTCTCAATCTTCCCTTTCTTGTTGTATATTCGACACAACACCCAATCATCAAGCTGTAATTAATTTCCAAGAAAATCATTTTATTTTCATTCACACCATAAAAATAAAGTTAATTTCATAATAATGTATTAGTATTATTACATACTCTTAAATTGTGGTTATTTTTTGATGCGGATCTATCAACGTTTGCAAGACGATATTCATGCATGATCCAATTCGTTTTAACTCCTTTAGGAGCTTTCCCAGCGTAGAAAACAAGTGCTTTCTTAATCCCAAGCGGCTTCGGCTTCCCAATCGGCTTATCGGCTCCCGTGGCTTTCCAGTAACCGGTTCCGGCCGCCCGGTTCGGCCGCGAACCGTTTGGATATTTCCGGTCCCTGGGAGAGAAAAAATACCATTCTTTCTCACCGTAAAGAGCCATTTCTGTTTACAAAACCAAAAAAAAAGATTAGTATCAAAATTTATTAATTTTTTTAATAAAAAATAACGTTGTTGAAAAGTAAATAACCTGGAAGATGCCATGGATCAAACTTATACAAATCAATTTCTTTGATAATAGGAACAGAGATTGGGAGAGAAGCACACTTTCTACATAAATAATGATTCACAAGCTCATCATCAGTAGGATGAAATCTGAAGCCAGGTGGTAACTCTAATGCACCTTGCATTCGCGAATTTCTGTTTAATATCTTGTTGTTGGTGATGGTTGATATTGGATTTTGAAGTTCGAAGTTGTGAGAGAGGAAGAAGTAATGGTTTTATAGGATGAAGAAGAGAAGAGTCAAAAAGGTTGGTTAAAAAAATACACGTGGGATTAGTGAAGTCGGGGGAAGGTGTATTATAGAAGAGAAAGTCCTGGAACTTCGAACCATGTTTTTACGTTGATAAAGGTGAAGGCAGACATCACACTCGTGGCGAGACGTGAATGGAGGGTAGGACACGTGCGAGGACTTTTTTGTGTCACTGCTTGCGTCACTGACTTAGTCTGGTTTTGGTAAAAAGGTTGACTGTTGTCGTAGTGGCTATGTTTTTTTTTGGAGTCGACATATTGCTGTACCTTATTTATTTTTTCTAATGCTCTGCATCTCGTCGTCGTCTGTCCAAATCTTCCCTCCACCACATGTAACATATTTTGACCGTTTATTTAAATTTTAACAAGATTTGTGTTATTTAAATGCAAGAATGGGCACTATCGACAAAGTTTATTCTTCATGTTTCTTTTTAGTTTTATACTTTTAATGATAGAATTAAACCTAACAAATTTTAAATCAATTTTAATGTATAAGATTCAATTATATTTATCATATAAGATTGTATCGCTACACAATGATGATTAAAACAAGAAAAGAAAATTGAATTCGACAAAAAAGGAAATTAAGAATTCAATGCAAAATAGGGAAAGAAGAATTTTTGTAGAGTAACTCTATACTCTCAAGCTATTCAAGTGAATCTCTCTCTCTACAATAATAGGGTTACTCCTGTTACCTTAGACTTTTCGACTCAACTATAAATGACAAGTAAAAACAATAATTATGCCATGTGGAGAGACGGAATTAAATGGAGGAAAACGCAAATCGAGAGTTGATGTAATGTCGAAGATTATACATGGTGATGCGGGTCGAAGCAGCTGGAAGTTGAAGAAACGTTGTTAGAGTCTAGAGACTTGGTGAATTTTTTATGCTACTTAGTTGTTGCCTGGTTGAGTACTATGATATGTTGGGTAAGGTTGAAGTTTATCATTACAATAGAAACAATGTCGACTTAAGTACTGCATGTGGAAAGTGCTACGAAGCGTGCTTACTCAACATTGTTGATCCTGGTGATTTCGACAACATTAAGTCAATTCATGGCAACCAGTAAAAGTAGTTAAGATATTTGAATGGTGTTGAAAGAGTGGGAATTCATTTGAAAAAGATGGTTACTCAAAGATACGTGAAAACTCATCGAAGGAAGTGGTTGTATGGGACATAAATGTGCCGTGATAAGGTTAGTTGATTGTTTGTAGGTAGTTATTTTAAATTTGTATATAAAGGGGTTCATGTTCATATTGTAAAGGGTCCGCAATTGTACTCATATTTCTATAAACTCAAAGTATTTGCGTATTTGAGAAACGAGTGAAGAAAATATACGTATGTGTTCCACATTTATAAATTTCAAGCATTTTACATTAAAGCATTTTACATTAAAGCCTTTTTTCTTGAATTCAATTACATTTCGATTTTTGCATTACAATTCTTGTCATTTTACTTAATCCTACATATCGATTTCAATCACTTTCATTTCTAAAACCATGTATTCCAAGTCTTGTTCAAAGTTGCATTATCATTCTTCAAATATTATCCTTTGATTTCGGCAGTAAAATGTTTTTTGAAGGTTTAAATACATACAAACTATGTTCTGGGATATCTTAGAGTTCAATCCCCTAAGTATTAATAGAAACTTGTTTTGTTTACCAAATTTCCAAGTAAACAACTCCCTATTTATAGATCTGCTTACGGCGAGTCTTCAAAGGCGTGAATATCTCTGTCATGTTACCTACCCTTTTGAATGTTGATTTTTACTTTATGGGTGAGGTGTATTTACTTTTCCTCTGGTGATGTAGGCCCTCGACACTGGGAATGCACTTTTTAACGTCGCAAGCCTTCTTTTCTACGTCGCTTTTGTAACAGCCCAATTTTTTAATAATTAATTATTCATGTTAATTAATTAATTTATTTGGATTGTTTTCATTATTGGAATTATTGGTAGATATTTGAGAGGAGAATTTATGGAAGGAAATAGAATGGAAGGAATATAAGGAAAAGTGGAAAGAAGAGGAAAATATAGAAACATAAGAGAAAAGAAGAGAAAAAAAGAGGAAGAGGAGAAAAGAGAAGGACAAGAAGGAAAAGTTTGGAATCATCAAGAACAAGTCCTAGCTTCCGATTTAATCAAGGTAAGGGTGTGAAATGTTGTTATTCTATCAATGTCTATGATTATATATGATTGATTTAGATTGTTTGGATGTTTTCTCCATTTTCCATTCTAGAGCATAAATGAGTTTAATCGGTAGAATCAAGGTTTTAACGGTTGGAATCAAGAATAAGTGTGTAGTTTAGTCGAGAAATGTTAGACTAAGACTATAGGAACTGGTTTGGTGAGAATCGGTTGATTGTGTGAAGAGTTGAGAATTGATGACAGTGAGAGTTTTTGAGTTTGCAGACGTTCGCTAGGCGAACAGGTCGCGAGTGTTAGCTAGCAACTCGCGAGACGAGCAAATTAGTGAGTGGTCCCAGACTTGGACAAAATATATTTGATTTGGTTCGCTGGTAGCGAGTGAGGTAGCGAAGGATTCGCTAGGACCTCGCTGCAGCGAGTAGGTAGCGAGCAAAGTCAGTAGCTTCTGTTTGCCTTCGCGAGCTTGTTCGCTAGGCGAACAGACAACGAGTATTCGCTAGGGACTCGCTAGGCGAGTAAGCCAGCGAGCGCCACAAC